ATTGTCCTGGATCTGCGCTGAGCTCTGGCCCTGTTATGGAAAATGTGCCACTCATATCAGAGCTGTGCAGCAGAAAGAGGTCAGACAGCGCTCTAGGGAACGAGTGAATGGCATACAAAAAGCGAGTGAGATTTGGTGAAAGGGAACAAGTGCAACAGTGAGAATAATTGTGGGAGAGAAATGAATTCTTTGACATCTAATAACGGTCTCACCTTCTCGAAGCTCTGGCGTTCATGAGAGCAGGATGTGTGATGCCACCCGGTAGTTTTTCTCACTTCCTGTTCTCTCTTTGTGTGAAAATACAAACTGAAGTACGGTACCATCTGTGAATGTTTTGCACTGAGATGCCACTGTGCTGTAAAAAAAAAAAAAAGGATGAAAAGTTATGCTCATTGACTGAGACCTGCAGCTCAAGATTTCGGATTTGGTTAAACTGCACAGATTCAGAGAAATATAGATAACATTTATATAGAAATTTAAATGAAATCAAAACATTCTTGTAGGCATTGCCTTTCGCCTTTTGTAAGGCAAAATAGTTGCATTAAAGGACAATAATTAAAACAAAATTCTAAGCTTTGTTACATTGCTGCTGTTTACCTTGTTTCTATGTTTCCCATTTGTGGTCGACCAATATATTGGCAGATATTTGGCTTTTTTATTTTATTTATTTTTTATTATCAGCACTTGCTCATTTCTTATAGGCAAGAGATGGATCTTTGTGCATGTCACTCCTGTAAAATGTTTTTTATGTTTATCCTGTGATTAACTGGAAATGTCATGTAAAAGCATTGGTGAGAAGGTGTAGTCTGTATATTTGGGGAATAAATTTGTAATTCTCCATAAAGTTTCCTTTCATTGCACACTTTTTTTCTTTCTTTTTTTTCTTCTCACATTTGTTAAATAAAACCGTTTAGCAGCTCCCTCAACACACTGCATTGAAGTCGGTTGTGTTAGCATTTGATCGTGTGTTGGGAAGCATGTTTGCGTTTGTGGGCACGTTCGCTGTATGTGTGTGGAAAGAGATAAGAACTCGACATCCTCATCTGACTCAGTGATGGTGCCTGGTTGGGTATTTTTAGCTTTGACTGCTTTTTCTGAACACAGGAAATAGACGCACACGGTTGCCCACTGGCTCAGCAACAGTGCATGTGTGTATGATGGAAGTGAGGCCTCATTTTCACCTATATCACTCGAAATAGACAAAGATGTGCAATATCTACAATATTAACTTGCTGTTGAGCTAGTGTCACCAGTTTTCTTATAGTTAAAGGGAATTGTCTCATCATTCAGGCATTTGCATTTGTGAGGTTGGGGCTGTGCTGTAGGTAGACAGTCTCACCCAGCGCAGACACTGTTTCTGTTTAAAGTCCCTGTAAAGTCAAAATTAAGTATGTGTTCTGAGTTTGTCACACCACAGAAAAATGTGCTATTAGCCACCCAGCCAAATTTGAATTTGCTAGCTACTCGCAAACTGTAGGCTGTAGTAACTAATAGTACTTACAGTAACTCGCGATTGAGCGGCGAACTGATGCGAATGTGCTCTAGTTATATTGTTAGGGGAGGGGCCAGGAGCTCAGTGGCTCCAGTGCGTCATCGAGCCACCGTTTTAGCCACGCCCCATAAATCCTGAACACCGCAATGGTGCAAAACTGTTTAACGGTCTAACTCCACAATTAAGTACCTCACAGTTCACAGTCTTTGTAATGTGTTTTAGCAATACATTTCTAACATTGTGTTTAGAGTTTTTTTGTTTGTTTTTTTAGAATTGCCTTTACAGGGACTTTAAGGTTTGATTAGATTTCTGACTCACTGGATTAGTGTAAAGCAGACCTTGCTGTCTGTCTCTACCACATAGCTGTTACCGATTGCTTTATCAAGAGATAAGACATAAGTTTAAAGTTGTAATATTTCTCATTATTACAGATTTTTTTTTATTTGTTTAAATTGTAGTTTTACCTTTGGTGAGCATAGTAGATTTTTTTTTTTTTTTTTTTTTTTTTTTTTTTACTTGCCAACCCCAAACATTTGCACATTGGTGTATATGCTAGTGGACTCCTAAATTTTGACAGAATTAGCTTTTATACAGATACTCAATTGTGAAGCCTATGGCTACTTAAACGATTTCTAATAAAAACAGGACTTTTTTTATGATGACATTACAACATTAACTGCTTAAACCTTTTAAATAAAAAGAGTTAAGTCACCTGTATATGAAGGTAAATCAGTAGCTAAACTCGAGAGCACGTAGATGTGAATTTGAGAACTTGTACAATAAATATTCGTACTTGTATGTGAACATTTACACTCACAGCTCCGATGTGAAAACCTGTAAAATAAAAATCTGAACTTGAACGCTGAGATTTGCACTCGCAGACAATAGTCACAAATCTGTATTCTGAATCTGAAGCTGCAGACAAGCAGTCACAAATGTGTAAAATGCCATTCACAAAGATACAAGGACAGACACAAACTTGTAATACAAATTTGCCCTTCTTCTAACATTCAAATTCGCAGTACAACCTCAAATTGGCACTTGCAACTTCTCAAATCTGTCACTGCAAGTTCAAATTTCGCGCCTTGACTTTTGCTACTCTTTTAGCGATATATGAGGTGCAAAACTGATTTGTGCACTTGTAACTCAGTGGCGGTGAGAGCGGAAGGGGGGCGGGAGGGGGGGTGTTCGAAGGAGCCGTTTTATTGGTTGGCGCCTAGCCAATGAAATGGGACTTCTATTGTACGCAATGATGTCACGAAACCCGCCTCCTCGTGGATGTTCTGAAACGCTAACATGGCTTAATGCATTAGACTGATTTAAAAGACATAAATTATATTATCAAACTTAGTAAACACAATAATGCATACTACAAAAAAGCAGATGAGCACAGAATATGAACGCAACACGTTAACTTAAGACTTAAGTGGTATTAAAAGACCAAACTCAGGAAACACCATAAATAAAGCATACAGAAAAGCAATTGAGCAGAAAATGAACGCAACTCGTTTAATTGTACGTTAAGCATTTTCCTCTCATATAAAACCAAGAAAATGCTTAATGAGGCTTAATGGACCAACAGTTTTATATATATATATATATATATATATATATATATATATATATATATATATATATATATATATATATATATATATATATATATATATATATATATTCGTTATACATTATTAATTAAACACAGGCAGCTGGTTTATTTGCACTGAACACAAATTTGCTTTCTTTCGTCATATTCTGTGCTCATCTGCTTTTCTGTAGTATACATTATTAGTATGGTGTTAATATCACTAAGTTTGATAATATCATTTATGTCTTTTAAATCAGTCTAATGCATTAAGCCATGTTAGCGTTTCAGAACATCCAAGAGGAGGCGGGTTTCGTGACATCATCGCATACAATAGAAGTCCCATTTCATTGGCTAGGCGCCAACCAATAAAACGGCTCCTTCGAACACCCCTGCTCCCGCCCCCCTTCCGCTCTCACCGCCACTGAGTTACAAGTGCACAAATCAGTTTTGCACCTCATATATCGCTAAAAGAGTAGCAAAAGTCAAGGCGCGAAATTTGAACTTGCAGTGACAGATTTGAGAAGTTGCAAGTGCCAATTTGAGGTTGTACTGCGAATTTGAATGTTAGAAGAAGGGCAAATATATTTTACATGTTTGTGATTGTCATTGTATCTTTGTGAATGGCATTTTACACATTTGTGACTGCTTGTCTGCAGCTTCAGATTCAGAATACAGGTTTGTGACTATTGTCTGCGAGTGCAAATCTCAGCGTTCAAGTTCAGATTTTTATTTTACAGGTTTCCACATCGGAGCTGTGAGTGTAAATGTTCACATACAAGTACGAATATTTATTGTACAAGTTCTCAAATTCACATCTACGTGCTCTCGAGTTTAGCTACTGATTTACCTTCATACCTGTACGTGTACCTGAAGGTTAGGTCAGTCAAAACAGAAATCATGTAGAAATCTTACACAAAAACATTCAAAGGGTCAGAGAGTGGAAAATGTTCATGTAAAAGTAAATGAAAGTTTTGAACTCTTTTTCATTTTTTTGAAGTGCACTTAATGTTAAAATTTGGCCCTTTTAAACATCGATTCGGGGTTATTGAAACAACACCTGAATCTTTGTGTAACTCAGATTATTGACAGACCTGAACTGCACCCGCATAGTAGCGTGCTTCCCTTCACTAGCAGTATATCTCTTTACTGCTTATTTTCCTCCACGGCATGGCATTTGTGAGGCAGCGGGAGAGGAGGACGGCAGGGTAGAGACACATGAGGGTTGCGACGTAAACGTGTCTGTGTACGTTTATGGTTTGAAAATATGCCGGTGCCATTATCACCACCATGCAGAGTCGATAATTTACATGTGGGCATATTCATACAGGGGTAACTAACGTCATTGACGTGAAGAATTTCAGCTATTCAAAATACAGCGTCCTTGTCGTTTTGTGCCCTTGACGTGGAGAGGGCACACTCTGTTGGCATGGGTTCCCTTCATATTCTACTATTTAAATTGCATTGTTTCGTGAGTTCTTGGTCATGGCAGCCCTGTGACAGTGCCATGTGGCTCGGGCGCCCCCTCCACTCAAGCACAGCGTGCGGTTCCTCCCTCCACACCCGGCTGGCTGTCATGACTTTATTAATTAAGGCTGGCACTCGTCCCAGTTGGTAGCAACTGAAACCAGGAAGAAAGCAGAGTGAGTGTTTAAGGAGAGAGTGGCACCAGCCTATCTGTCTGCTCGCACCAGGAATGGAGACGTCCTCCTGACAAGCATGACCTTAGCTGCTCATCTTGCGTGCGTGTTCCCTCACTGAGCCTTCCTGGGGAGCAGAGGGATCTTTTGAAGGTCTCTGCAGACTGTTGCTAAAAGACAAAACACTTGTTTTTTTTTTTTTTTTTTAAATGAACCTAATAACCCTTGTGAGGAAATTATGGCACATTGAGTCAAACTAAAGGCTGTCTCTGTTCCCTTGTAGCTGTGGAGACCCAGAGCACAAGCTCGGAGGAGATCGTACCCAGCCCACCCTCTCCGCCACCTCCCCCACGGATCTACAAGCCTTGTTTCGTCTGCCAGGACAAGTCCTCGGGCTACCACTATGGAGTCAGCGCATGTGAAGGGTGCAAGGTAAGAATCCATTCCATCTTGGTTTGCAGGATTGAGCTGTGGCCCTAAAATGTTTTTGGACACTTAAGTCACATTTGTCTAAATAAGACATCCAATATCAGCTAAGTGGCATCTGCAAACAAATACCACAAACTAATGGCCAGTCAGGTATAAGAAGTCAACTATATCTGTTGTTTTTTGAGAGATGTTTTGCTAAAAGGTGTTTTTTTTTTGTGCTATATAAATATATATTTTTAAATAAGTCACACTTGTTTTTGGTATTTTTATGCAAGAACTTGTCCGGAGTTTTACATCAGTCAATGACCCGTTCGGTGACAGTGAGCTGCATTACACGCGCAATTGAAATGGTGGCTACAAAGAAATCTCTAACGTTAATTTTAGGGATGCACTGATATGAACATTTTGGCCGATACTGATAACCGATAATTCTTTACATTTGAAAGACGATAACCAATATATTGGCCGATAAATCTAAATTCAAATTTTGATATACTTTGATAGCCTGTATACATAAACAAAAGGCTCACCATTAAAATCCATGTCTCAAACACTTTTAACATAAATCAAACATATACAATACAGTAGCCTAGTTTGAACCAGTGTAAGATTCCTTAACTTTTAGAATTAATTTTACACTCCTATGACCATCTTTCATTATTAAAAAATGGGAACACTTTATAATAAGGTTTAATTTTGTTAGCATGAACCAACAATTAATGAACAATACTTCTACAGCATTTATTAATCTTAGTTAATGTTAAGCTCAACATTTTATAAGACATTTTTAAGATCCAAAGTTGTATCTGTTAACATTAGTTAATGCACTGTGAACTGACATGAACACAAATATTGTATTAACTAACATTAACAAAGGCTATTGCTCTCTGTTAGTTCATGCATTAACAAATGAGACCTTATTGTAAAGTGTTATCAAAAAATCTATTGCCTAGCAAAAAAATACAAATAAAATACCTAAATAATGCAAACGCAAACAAGTCATTGGATAACATTGGGCTGCATATATTGAAACAAAATGCATGTGCCATGGATCAATAAAATGGAATCGCCTCCGCTCGGACATTATTTTAATCAAACCATATTGGTGATGAAAATAATACAAGAAAAAAATAATGTTAGTTATTAATTATAACGCATCAATGTTTTTGAAAAAAAATATAAACATTTTTAATGTTACAGTAATAGTAAACATCTTTAATAGCATGCTTACTGTTTCAAATTACATTGCTGTTTGAGCTGCGCGCGCTGAAGCTGAAGAGAACGAACGTTAAAGTCCCTGTAAAGGCAATTCTAAAAAAAAAAAAATCTAAACCCATTATAAATGTTAGAAATGTATTGCTAAAACATATTACAAAGACTGTGAACTGTGAATTACTGAATTGTGGAGTTAGACCGTTAAACAGTTTTTCACCATTGCTATTTTCTGGATTTTTTGGCGGGGCTAAAACGGGGCTTGATTAGAGTTCTCAACGGGCCTGAAAATTACAACCCGACCCGACCCGGCCCGTGGCTTTTAAAGCCCGGACCCGATGTAACCCGACACATCAACATGATTTATCTGCCCGAACCCGACCCGCGGCCCGACGCCACCCTTTTGATCGGTGAGTGATGTATGTAGAATAGAATGTATTCTATGACTGCTGCGCTTGACGCAGAGAGAGAGAGAGCCCCGGCCGCGCGCGCGCGCACTCTCACGTCTCACACATTCCGCCCATCCAGCTGACATAAACCACATTTCAATAAACGAAAAAAACTATCCAGTGATTAAATGTTTTCTGTATTGACGCAAATCTTGTGCGATGTCCTAAACTGCCGAGATAATCACACAACGTGTCGCGCCGCCCCTGAGCAACGGTGATTTCACCTGCAGCAAGTTTACTTTTCACCAACTCCATCTTCTTCTCCGGGCTAAAGGCGTGCACGCAGCGGCGTCAGGTGCCCTCGCGTCGCGATGCACGTTGCACGCAGCAGCCAGACTTTCTTTACAGTGAACAGCAGCGATGAATAATAAATGTTTTTTTTTCTTTCACTGTACAATTCAAAAGATTAAGCCCGAGGTCCGACCCGACCCGAGTCATTTGCAAATATTTTCGACCCGAACCCGCGGGTCCCGTCGGGTTTGTCGGGCCGACCCGACCCGTTGAGAACTCTAGGCTTGATGACGCACTGGAGCCCCTGAGCTCCTGGACACGCCCCTACTTGATGACGAACTGAGGCCACTGAGGCTGGCCCCTCCCCTAACAATAGAGCACATTCGCATCAGTTCACTGTTCAATCGCGAGTTACTGTCAGTACTATTAGTTACTACAGCCTACAGTTTTCTAGCTAGCTATGCCTTCGACACGGAAATGCGTAGGCTACTACCTGGATGCGATCATGTACAAAACAGATCGGTGTCTTTATTTAAATTTCCTAAAAACGATCACATCAAGAAGAGGTGGATTAATTTTGTGAAGCGCCAACCTTGATGGAGAGCTGAGGATCACCGCCAACACCCGCCTCTGTAGCGATCATTTTACACGGGATAGTTTTATAAACTTTCGTCTGAGACAACTGGGATTCACTGATAATCCGCTGTTACTGGTGAATGGGGCCGAACCGACTATCTCCCGCCTCGGGCTTCATCTCCCCGTCCCGAAAGCAGTATCACCTAATATCACCATCGGCTGGTTGCCCGCGAGTGGGCGTGATTTCAGCGCAGCCAGCGGACACGCCCCCAGCGTTTGAGAGCAGAGAATACTGCTCATTTTTTCAAGATTTTGATAGCTTATTTGATGTACTTGCCAGCTTTTTTTATTATTCAAATTTGGCTGGGTGGCTAATAACAAATTTTTCTGTGGTGTGACAACCTCAGAACACATACTTAATTTTGACTTTACAGGGACTTTAAACTGAATCGCTTTGCTAGAAGGTTAATCAACTCAACGTTTGCTGAAGAATGCAACTAAACCCAAAGAATTAACAACTTTTTATTACAATAGTGAATGCAATTATAATGATATGACAGTCCCAATCATACCTTTTAATGTTTTGCATCGTTGTTTAATTTGGGAGCGCTGAAGCTGAAGAGAACGAACACCGGGTAACTGAAGAACTTTTCTAGCAGGTTGTGTAAATCAACAAAACACACCCTATAGATTAATCAGATATTTATATTACATCAACTTTATATTACGACTTATCTGCACAAAATGATGTGAATGCACAATCGAACTTGTGCTGGTCAGAATGTGTAATCCCTGTTCTGGACGCACTATTCCCACAACAACGCGCTGAAAACGGCAACTAAACCCAGATCAATTACAACGTTTTATTTCAATAGTGTTCTCATTATAATGGCATGTATATTACAGTCCCAATCATAGTTATAAATGTGCATTGCTGTTTTGAGCTGATGCGCACGCTAAAGATAAAGATGATCACTAGTACAATGAAGCGTTTCATTAACTCAACCAAACTCATCCTATTTTAGATTAATCGGATATATATACACAAAATAAACATATTACAACTTACAATGGCACAAAATGCTGCGAATGCTCAAGCAAACTTGACTGCTTTTCATGAAGGCTTTACTCCATAGACGCGCTCTTTCCACCACAACGCACTCGTCGCGCTGAAACACTGGCGAACGAATTCAAACATTCTTTTGCAGCCGTGTTCTTATTATAATGTAATGAAGCCTATGTGACACATATGTGCTGCACATGTTGCACTGAACTGTATCTTCCTTTTCGAAGTGATTCCAATCATTCAAAACCATCATGGCGAACAGCGCGCATCTCTCAACTGAAGTAAATAATCTATTATCTATCGGCTTTGATATATCGGCCTAATTTTCTTATCGGATCGATAACATCAAAAAAGACCATTTATCAGCCGATATCGATATGTGGTCGATATATTGTGCATCCCTAGTTAATTTTGCTCATGGCTTGTCTTGAAAAACAAAGACAATTGGACAGACAAATGTCAGGACTGTGAATCAAATCTTCTGACACTGCCAGAATTTTTTCAGAGGTAAAATGTGATCGCAATGGTCATTAATTGGCTGTCGGTGAACATGTCAAACTAACGATCAAAGACTTCAGATTTTATCAGAAGAATCTTTTAGGATTTGCCAAATTTGTATTAGACAAATCGTTTTTGTCTTAAATTTGTCTTAAAATCGTACAGTGTGCACCTGACTTAACACTCACTTGAAGTTACTCTTCAAAAATGCTAATAATTTAACAGTTAAATGTAATCTTTAGCAAATCTCTAATTGAATATAAATTTTCCATACTGAACATTATAATGTCATGATGCTTAAATAGTTGGTTTTATAACTAAACTAAATAACTGGTTTTGATTTTTATGATTGGAAATGGTTACTTATAGAATCCTTTTACAAAATATCTTTGCTATATTTGGGGTTCTGTCATCCCATGTTGCTATAGTGCTGCTGCCACCGGTGACAACCTTTTTTGGGGGGGAGGAGACCCCATTGGCTCAGCTGTGAATTCCAGCCTTTTTTTTTCTTTGCTACTTAATAATTGAAAACTAGTCGTGTATACATTTCTATGATCTACACAGTGTCTCCCTGAGAAAGAGAAACACAGGGGTTTAGAGTTGAACTATGATGGTTACAAAGCCCCCCTATCTGAGCGCAGCCGCAGGGAAGCGTGGGTGGAGAGCTGCATGTGCGCACGCACACACAGCGGTGCTCGCTGAGAAAATAAACATAACTTCATTAAATTTGCATGTCCTATCTTCTCCCTTTCTCACTGCTATTGAATGTTAGGAGGACATATCAGCACTTGTCTTTTCCTTCAAAAAGCACCCATCACTCTCCTCTCGTCCCTACAGCCTTGTCTGTTTTGAGATGAACAAAGAGCATTTGAGTTCTATGTCCTTAAAGGGGTGGTATAATTCCCTTTTCACAAGATGTAAAATAAGTCTTTGATGTCCCCAGAGTGTGTATGTGAAGTTTTAGCTCAAAA